GCATGCTAGCTCTGATATAGTCTAGTCTTGCCAACTTCGTTGTACCATTGTTGTGAACTTTTGCTAGTGAAACTCTTGCCAACTTTCCCTGTGAACCAGCAAGTAGTGCAAGCACAAGTAAACGACTAAGTGGATGAACGCAGAGATCACACGAGCACACGTGCCTAGCCCGTAGTCTAGCTCCCGTTGTAGTAGTTATCTCCACATGGTGCGGTGAGCGTGGACGGCACACGACTTACCTTTCAGTCAGGTCGACGTTGTTGTCACTTACCTAATTCGTGTTCGTAGGCCGGCAGCTGTGCGGTAGTCACTATGGTTGGTGACGTAGGTGACACGGGGGTGGTCGACACCTCGGAGGCACGGCTGGAGGATGCGAGTAAACGCCATGAGGCCCAGGAGTACGGAGCCATCCCCTGGGTGGTTGTTGAGGCTGGTCTCTGCACCATGTGGGCGACAGAGCACCCTTCTCGACCAGCTTCTCCTCGACCGGTGAACACTGAGGGCGGCGTCGACGTGGGCGTCAACGCCGGTGACCAAGTCGGCAGCAGTGCGGGAGGCACGTCGTTGGGGCAACGTGGTGTGATTCACGCCGATGAAGTCGGCGGCGTTCAGGCGCGAGGGATGCGGTCGTCGGCGGCTGCAGGCTCCTCGCATGGTGACGTCGGAGGTCAACAAAGTGGATCTTCGCCGATGTCGGCGACCTGGGTGACAGCAGGCGGGATTGCACCGAGCTACGGCTACTTCAAGTTTACGCCGGATAGGATCTTGGTCACTCCCCTGCTGGTCGGTCGACCCGACATTCTCACCTGGAAGGAAGCCATTGAGCCCCAGCTGGAGATGGCCGGGCTGATCAACTTTGCTCGCGGTACTGTGGTGACACCGGAGGACCCCGACTTACGTGCGGAGTTTCGCGCCGTGCAGCTGCTGACCTTCACGGTCATCTCGCGGTGCTACTCGCCGAGCGTGCAAATCGCCCTGAAGTCATGCAGGGAGCACCTCGACGCCGGCCACTGGGCATGGCACTTCATCGAGTCGACTTACCAAGTCACCGACGACTTGTTCATTGCCCAGCTGGAAGGGCAGCTGACTCACCTGCATATGGGCGACAAGGAGACTGCGACAAACTACTGCAACCAAGCTCGACGAATTCTCGCCACCATCAGGATGGCCGGCGCGGAGTACTCGACGGCGTCGTACGTCACCCACGTCATGCAGGGACTCCCGAGCAGCTACAACTTGCTGAAGCGGTTGTCGATGGCGCCGAGCACGCGGGCGACACTCAACGAGGACACGCTGACCTCGTACATCCTGCAGGACGAGGCGATGCAGGAGGCCGAGCAGTCCTAGGAGCTCTTGGCGCAGGTGAACTACGTCGCCCCAGCGAAGCAAGGCGGTCGACCGGGGCAGCGTGGACAGTCTGGCGGCGGTGGTAGCAGTGGCTCGAAGCCGGCCAAGGAAGTCGACAAGAAGAAGTCGACCAAGGACAGCGGTCGAGGAGGAGGAAGTCGACGTCGGGAGTGCTGGCTGTGCGGCGACCCCGACCACCTCTCCTTCGAGTGCCCTGAATGTAGTGACTCCGACGATGACGACGCCAAGGGAGGCCGCGGGAGGTCTGGCAGTCGTCGTCCTCGTCGAGGAGGAAACAAGCCGCGCAAGGAGAAGCAGTCGACCACGTCGACCTCGGCGAAGGACGCCGACTCCTCTGCTGGCGGCAAGGGGCGGGACGACAAGTCGGCGTCGTGCTCTCTGGTCGGCGTTGTGGAGCCGACCGTCTCGCTGGCGCCGGAGGCCGGCGAGGACTTCCAGGCGGTAGCAGCAGCTGTGCAGGCTAATCCGGCGGTGGTCCTGCTCGACAGCGGCTGCTCGCACCACTTAATGGGGATGAATGAGGCCTTCGTCGACTTGGGGACGAGTGGCGACGTGAAGCATGTGCGCGGCTTCAATGGGGCGCTGCAGGACGTCCAGGGTCGTGGCACCGTCGCCCTGCTGGGAGACGCCGGGGAATGGGTGCTCATCCCCGACGTACTGTACGTCCCGGGTGTGGCGGCCAACCTGCTGTCAGCCGGCCAACTGAAGGAGAGCGGCGTGAAGCTGCAGGAGGACGGCGACGGAATGTTACTCGTCTAGGCAGCAAGAGACGTCATCGGTCGGGCGTCCTACACAGGGCGAGTCCTCTGCACCGACCTGCGTCCCTGCTCAACGAGGTCGACGCGGGCCATGAAAGAGGCCGTGGCCCTGCGGGCGATCGTCTCAGTGACGAAGTCGACGCTGGATAGGCTGCATACGAGTCTTGCACACGTCGGCATGGACACCATCCTGCGCTCGGCGAAGCACGAGGTCGCCACTGGGCTGGACCTCAAGTCGACGTCGGGCACCGACTCACCGTGTGTCTCGTGTGTCAGCAGAAAATTGGCACGGCACACCTTCCCCAACCAAGGCTCCGTCGCCGATGACGTGCTGGCCGTCGTGCACATCGACCTGTGCAGGGGAGCCATTCCGGGTGGCTGCCAAGGATGGCAGCCTGTACTTCTTGTTGCTGAAGGACCGCAAGCCCCGCTGCGTATGGGTGAGGCCGGTTGCCAAGAAGTCGGATGCGCTGCAGGAGTTCCAGGGGTGGCTGGTGTTGGTGGAGCGGTAGGCGAAGAAGTCGGTGTTGCAGCTGCGCTCTGACCGAGGAGGGGAGTTCCTCGGCAAGGAGTTCACCGCCTTCGTGGACGGCAAAGGGATCGTCCACGACCTGACCTGCCCCTACACCCCACAGCAGAACGGCATGGCTGAGCGGGAGATGCGGACGGTGGTGGAGTCGGTGCAGACGATGCTGCTGCACATGGGCGTACAGCACCACTGGTGGCACCTCGCTCTACGGCAGGCCGTCTGGGTTCGCAACTGCCTGGAGCGGTCGGCGACGCCGGGGACGACACCGTACCAGTTGCTCACCGGGAAGAAGCCCGACTTGTCGCTGGCACGCGTGTGGAGCTGTATGGCGCAGATCCTCATCCCCGAGCAGCAGTGTGGTGGGAAGCTGAAGCCGAAGGCCAAGTGGGGCCTAAACCTCGGCGTGTCGGAGGAGAGCAAGGGCTGGGAGCTCCTCGACATCGCTGACAACCGGGTGGTCACCACGTCGGACGTGGTGTTCTACGAGGACATGTCGCTGGAGGTGTGGAAGTCGGAGCACGGGCCGGTGTCAGGACGGACGCCGACCACCCCGCCAACCGACACCTCGACGGCGACACTGCCTCTGCTCGCCGAGGTCGGTGAGCTTGCTGATGAGGACGCCAAAGTGATCCACCCTTCCTCCCCTTCCGCTACCCCTCCCCTCGTTGCCGACCTGCATGGGCTGGCTCCGGCGTCGGCCTCCGGCGACGAGGGGAGCAGTGGGGCGTCGCCTGTGGCACTGACCAAGTACATCGCCGGTGGCCGACGTGACACCCAGCAAGTCAGCCTGGAGGTGAAGTCGATAGCGGGGCAGTCGGGGAAGCAACAGGCTGAGCAGGTGCAGCCGACAGGGGAGCAGGCAGCAGCGCGGCCGACCCAGGAGCAGTCGGCGACCTGGCAGTCAGCAGGGGAGCTGACCGCAGGGGAGAAATTGGTCAGGACACCGACCGAGATGCAGCAGGACGACGAGGACGACGGAGTAAGTGAAGATGAAGGGGAGCAGTTGGGCGACGAGGAGTCCAACGACCATGACGAGGTAGAGGTCCAGGCTCGACCACGGCGTACAGGCCGACTTCGGAGGCCTCCCGACTTCTTCGTCCCGGCTGCCTTCACCACGGTGTATGACGTGGTCGACGAGGACGACGACCTGCTGTACGACGACGCCGACGAGGATGAAGACCTGCCGGAGCTCGACCCCGACATGCACGCCGACCCCGAGCACCGTTGGGATATCTCCACGATGACGGTGAAGGAGGCGTTGGCGAGCTGGAAGGGTCCGGCGGTGAAGGCCGCCATGGAAGAGGAGATCCGCAGCCTCATCGGCATGGGGACTTGAGAGCTAGTAGAACGCCCACCCGGGGTAAATGTTATGAAGAACCGGTGGGTGCTGACGACGAAGTACCACATCGACGACACCGTCGAGCGCGAGAAGGCGAGGCTGGTCGTGAAGGGCTTCACACAGGTGTACGGTGCCGACTACGACGAGACGTACGTGCCGATGAGCAGCTACGTCGCGCGGCGGATTTTCCTCAGCATTGTTGCCGTTCTCAGCCTCAACCTGATGCAGCTCGACATGAAGAACGCCTTCCTGCAGAGCAAGCTCGACCGCGTGCTGTACATGTACCAGCCGGACTACTTCAACGACGGGACCGGCCGGGTGTGCAAGCTGCTGAAGTGCCTCTACGGGCTGAAGCAGTCGCCGCTGCTATGGTACAAGGCTCTCAACGACGTGCTGGTCGGCGCTGGGTGGAAGAAGAGCCAGGTCGACGAGGCCCTCTACTTCAAGGTCGGCGACGACAAGGTGACCTGCTGGGTGCTGGTCTACGTCGACGACCTGCTCGCCGCCAGCAGCAGCCCCGCGATGCTGAAAGAGCTGAAGGAGCTGCTGGAGGCTGTGTTCAAACTGCGGGAGATCTCACCGGTGCAGAAGTACCTCGGGCTGGAGATCGTGCACGACAGGCCGGCGAGGGAGCTGTGGCAGCACCAGCAGGGCTACGCCGACAAGCTGCGTAGGTGCTTCCTCGACCAGGAGCAGACCGGGCGCACCCCGCAGACACCGGTTTCGGTCGACGCCTACGCCGAGCTCACCTTCGACGACGAGGGGGTGCAGGAGCGCCAGGAGGAGTACTAGCAGAAGGTCGGCTCGCTGCAGTTCGCGGCGACGACGACGAGGCCGGACATCGCCTTCGCCTGCAGCAAGTTGGGGAGCGGCCTCACGGTGAGGAGCGACCAGCACTAGCGCGAGGTCGACCGCTGCCTTGCCTACCTCGCCAACACTCGTGACACCGCCCTGGAGTTCGGCGGTGGACCTGAGTCGCTGAAGCTGGTTAGCTACGTGGACGCCGATGACTCCGGCGACAAGCAAAACCGGGCGAGCACGGGTGGCTACGTGTTCATCTACAGAGGGGCCGCGGTCTCCTGGTCGAGCCAGTGCATCAAGTGCGCGACGCTGTTGTCGACCGAGTCGGAGTACGTGGCGGCCGTCGAAGCTGGCAAGGAGGGACGCCGACTTCGCTTCCTCCTAGCAGAGTTCCGGCAGCTGGATGCCGGGAAGCCGACTGTCCTCCAAGTGGACAATAAGTCGGCAATCACAGTCGCCGAGGGCATGGGGTTGACGGGCAACCTCAAGAACAACGACAACAACGACGACAGCAATGACAGTAATAATGGCTATTACCATGACGCCGATGATGACGATGATAACAACAACATCATCAACAGCAATAACAACATCAACGACGACGACGACGACGACAACAATGGCAACAATGACAATAACAACAACAACAATTGAAAATTAACTATATTCATTGCAGATTTTACCTTGTGAATATGTAACAATAGCAGTCGTACACGACAAAGGCCGACTAGAGCAGTACGCTAATCGTTCGTGCTTTGAGCTTTATCATTAGTATCAAACCTCCGTTATTTGAAAAATGTTGTCACGATATCTCTTTACCGTAAATCTATGAAATTTGCCATGTGCACAACCCCGACGCTTATCACCAAATTATCATGACATGAAACACCATAAAAAAAAAAAGCTTCGTTACGCTAACTGGAACTTATTGCCTACCGAATCATGCCTGAATATGTGGCGCTTGGAAACTCCAACAACAAAGAACTGAATAGCAATGACAGCGTTGTGTATTCTACTTGCTTCAAGTCTACAGATTTGCCTGCTCAAAACATGCAATATACAACCAGCACACTAGTGAGATCATAATACTGGTATGAAACGAGGATATGCTAGTATCAGGCATATGTGTAAAATCTACTTTGCAGTAACATGCTGCGATCCCTCCTTCCCAGAACTAGTTTGCCAATTTCGCTCGCAACAATTCCGCTTGAAGCGAGTCGATAAATTCGGTGGAAATCCCTGCCCAGCTCACCGCTTGTTCGCCGCGCCTCACTCCTCATTGCTCGTGCCCACCCATTTGATCGCCGCAACCAACCGTTGATCACTGCCTCTCTGACTATTATGACTTGATCTGTGGTCTGTCCATACTGACACGTCTGCTTTGGAGAGGTAGCATCGCCATACATAGAACGCGTGCACGATCGCCAACACCTGGCGGTCATGTATTGGTAGTTGCTTTCGGGCGGGTGAAGCTTACGAGACTAGTACGCGATTGGCTCAAGGCCGTTCTTGCAACAGTACTGCTCCCACGGAGATGTCACTTGCGTCGGTGACCAGTTTGAACGGGCGGTGTGGGACGGCAATGTGCAGTATGGGCGGCCAGCACAAAATCTCTTTGAGGGATGGGAAGGCATCTTGCTCTTTCTCCCCCATATGTACTCAACCCCCTTTCGCAGCAAATATGTTAGTGGGGCAGTTAGTTGACCATATTGGGGACGAACCGACGCACGTAGTTGACTAACCCCGAAAAACTCTCTAGCTCAGTCAAATTTCTCGGCGCGTGCCATGCTTGAATTGTCACAGTATTTTTCCTGTCTATTTCTACGCCGTCTTCTGAAATAGTGTGCCCAAAAAACTCTAGCCTGTCCTATTGAAAACACACACATAGACGCCTTTGTGAGAGTGCACCAACACGCCAGTTGTTCCGACTGGTCCATTGGACCAACAGGCCAGTTAGTTGGGCCGGCCTATCCATTGGACCAACAGGCACGTTGGTCCAACCGATCCATTGGACCAACAGGCCAGTTGGTTCGACCGGTCCATTGGACCAACTGGCCAGTTGGTCCGACCGGTCCATTGGACCAACAAGCCAGTTGGTCCGACCGGTCCATTGGACCAACAGGCCAGTTGGTCCTACATCGGACCAACAGGCTAGTTGGTCCAACCAGTCCATTGGACCAACAGGCCAGTTGGACCGACCAGTCCATTGGACCAACAAGCCAGTTGGTCCGACTAGTCCAATGGTCCAATAGGCGAGTTGGTCCGCCCGGTCCATCGGACCAACAGGTAAGTTGGTCCGACTGGTCCATTGGACCAACGGTATAGTTGTTCCACCCGGTCCATTGGACCAAGAAACCGGTTGGTCCACCAGTTGGTCCGCCCCGTCCATCGAACCAACAGGCCAGTTGGTCTGCCATGTCCGTCGGACCAACAGGCCAGTTGGTCCGATCGCTCCATTGGACTAACAGGCCAGTTGGTCCAACTACTGGTCCATTAGACCAACAGGCCAGTTGGTCCGACCAGTCCATTGGACCAACAGGCCAGTTGGTCCGACCGGTCCATAGGGTAGAGCAACAAGCCAGTTGGTCCGACGAGTCTAATGGACCAACAGGCGAGTTGGTCCGACCGGTCCATTGGACCGACAGGCTAGTTGGTCCGACCGGTCCATTGGACCAACATGCCAGTTGGTCCGACCGGTCCATCGGACCAACAGGCCAGTTGGTCCGACCAGTCCATTGGACCAATAGGTGAGTTGGTCCGACCGGTCCATTGGACCAGCAGGCCAGTTGGTCCGACCGGTCCATTGGTCCAGCAGTATAGTTGTTCCGCTCGTGTGAGGATCTAGGATCGAGCTCAAAAAAGAGAGTTTGAATTGAATGATCCACCTGGGTACAAGGCGAGGCTATATATAGGCTCGACACAAAGCAGGTAACCCAGGTGTTACGCAAAGGTTCCGAGGGTCGCGAAGCGTCCCGAACAGACCCTTCCTGAATTCGGTAGAAGGCAATTCGGTGGCAACCGAAAAGCCTAGAATTCGGTGCACTCAACCTAGTTCGGTGCCTATTACAATAATAACTATAGTAAAAGCAACGAACCTAGGAAATCAAGCAAAAGCTTTACCTTATGCACTATCACCTTGTGCACCTGAACCTTGCACAGCGCCACCTCGTGCGCGTTCACCACTTGGCGGCTTCATGCCTGGAGGCGCCCATCCCTCAGGCCGGCTGAAACACTTGAACCACGGGTGTCCAGCCTTCTTGCAGTACCAGCACGCACCCTCCATTCGGGTGCTCCCCCTGCCACCAGAGCTTCCATGCCCCTCGTTGTAGTCACCTCGGCCTCTTCCTCTGCCAAAGCCTCTCCCACAGCCTCGGCCTCTCCCTCCCCCTCTTCCTCTGCTGCCTCCTGCAGCTCCATACCCCTCAGCAGTTTTGTTGGCAGCACCACCTCCCGTGTGGCGCCTGCGGAAGTCCTCCTGCAGGATCTGCTGCCGCAGCCATTAAGGCGTCCACTTGTCCTACTGAACGTTGAGGGTCGGGATGAGGTTGTCCCATGAGTTGTCGAGCACCGAGATGATCTTGGTGCATTGCTGCATCTCCGACACCTTGCTGCCCGCCGCTGCCATCCTCGCGTAAGTGTCCTTGATCTTGTCAAGGACCGGCTTCACGTCGTCTCCCGGCTTCATGGAGAGGGCAGCCAGCTCCTTCTCCAACACAATCACCATCGGCAGCGTGTTGGGTTGTACCACGTCGCGTAGCAGCTTCCACGCCTTCGGTCCGGAGTCGTCCAGCTCCACTAAGTCCTTGATGTGCTGGAACATGTCGTTGTTGACGGACTGTAGAATCAGGTCGTACAGCACCGCGCTCCGCTCAATCCACCGATCCCGAGCATCTCCTTCCTCGGGCATCTTCTCCTCTCCCATCGCGAGTTTCAGCAGCTTGTAGCGCTTGAAGACGCTTCTCGTCCGCCCGCTCCATTCCTCATAATTGGAGCCATCCAAAGCTTCGATCTTGGATGGTGGCGGTTCACTCCTCTTCTCAGCTGCTTCTCCACTCATCTCCTCTGCTCCCAATCAGAGGTTTCAGCTCCCCCTTTGCTGTCCACACCGAAGTCCCACACAATTTTCACAAGTGTCGGTGCCAACGAAATTTCGGCAGAGTTTCCCCTTAGCGGAAGTCACATGCAACCTCTAGAACACCACTTAGGCACGCCCACAGGCCATGGTGGGTCTAGGAGGGTCTTCACACTTCAGTAGACTCTTCACAACGTCCTCAATCAGCTCTGATACCACTTGTTAGAGATTAAGGACTGAGTCTATGAAGATTAGGTGCCCAAATAACTCAAAATCGTTGGCTTAGAATTCTGGACAGAAACCGCGACTTCACAAGAAACGTCGTCGGCTAAAATTGCACCGTTAGAATTGTCTCAAACTCGAGTATGTTGTAGCCCTTGACCGTGGCTATCATTCCCAATTTGAATCGTATCAAAAGGTGGAGTAAATCTCGAGTTATGCTTTTCGGCGCACTAGGGGGTATGCTGCCATAGAAAATGCGCACGACAAAATAGAAACGCACGGGACACACAAAATGACCGCGTAATACGCGGCTAGCGATAACTCGCTATTGACTTGACACACACACTCGACATCATGACCCATTATTCACACACCATTATAAGCATGAAATATATATTTATTTCATGCACTCATACCACTCCATGCACACATGCATGCACGCACACGCACACGGACAACAAGCCGAGTGCAAACCGTAGGGTTGCACCAACAAACTCCCCCTCGGGTTGTTGGCCTTAGGATCTTGCTCTCGGTTTAGAGCCATCCCAGCCAGCTTGCAACACTTCCAATGCTGCTGCTCCACCAGCCTCTTGGTCATCATGTCTACTGGCTGCCCCGTCGCCTTCACGTAGCGCAATTCAACTTCACCCGCAGCCACCATGCTCCTTGTCCAGTGCCACTTCACCCTCATGTGCTTTGTCAGGCCATGCAACACGGGGTTCTTGGCTAGAGCAATGGCTCCCTGGCTGTCACAGTAGAGAGGGGTAGGTCCTTGCTGCTCCTCCCCCAATTCAGCCAACAAACGCCGCTGCCACACAATCTCCCGTACGGCACGGAAGAGTGCCATGTACTCGGACTCCACCGAGCTCAAAGCTTGGTCAACCTGCTTCTTGCTCTCCCAAGCAGTTGGGCCTCCACCAACACAGCAAATGAACCCTCCAACACTTGTCATGTCCTCTGGTTCAGAAGCATAGGAGGCATCCGAGAATGCGGTGAGGAACAAACGCCCGGGTTCCACACCATCCGCGCCCTTTTGGCGCCTTTGCAGCCCAACGGTCGGTGTTTGGCCAAGGTACTTGGCCACCCTCATTCCAGCTGCTACCTGCTCCTCATTAGGGCATTGCACCACCCTAGCCAGCTGCCCGGTAGCAAACGCGACATCCGGTCGTGTGTTGACTACCGCGCACATAAGGCTGCCCACCAATGAATGAAAACGGCGCCTCTCCTCTTCACCCACGCTCTCCTCCTCTGGTCCCTTCACACACTTGAACCCAGAGGGAAAGGGTGTAGCCACATGGCCTTCATTCTGCCCAAAGTTGGCAGCCAATGCCTCCAGGTACTTTCGTTGGTGCACCCGCAT